TAACCTGGATATAAATATGGTTTGCAACAGCACAAGTAACTTCAAATACTTCTCTTCATTGTTGGTAACTCCTGGATTTTAATCAACAGGAGAGATTGTATCAATCTGCATTTAATATTGTTAATTCAAACCACAGCTAGAAATATAGAATCATAGAACTCTCCCTTTCTACTTCACTTTGAGCAATCTGGTCTAGTGAAAGGTGTCCCTGTCCGTAGCAGGGTGTTGGGACCAAGAGAAGCTTTAAGGTCCCTCAGATGAGCTTTAAGGTCCCTTCCAATCCAAACCATTTTATGATTCTATCATAGAATTTGGGTTTGGGTTGGAAGGGACCTTAAAGCTCATCTAGTTCCAATCCAGTTAGTCACAGATGTGAGGTCACTAGAAGCTCCACAATACAGGGTCTGCACAGAAATGTTATTTAGGACATTCTTTCAATGCTAACTTTCGGGGAGAGGCAGAAAGAGTTATTAGACTTTCGCATTTTATTTACTGCATATGGGAGATAATACTAAGTAGCCTTCAGATAGCTGCCTCACCATACACACATATCCCAAACATTTCCATATCCCCAGGTGATCAAGTAAGAAAATAGGTTTGCCTGTCCCTAACAGATGCTCTCTCAGCCACCATGGGTACCCATGTTAGACTTTTAAACTTACTCCCACGTTGATAAGAGCTAGATTTTTTCTTTAAGTGGCAATTTCTGTGTAGCTGTCTGGCTTCTGGGAGCTGCAGCTCAAAAAACTTTTGAAAATAATTGTTGGTAAAGTCATGAGAAGTGGCAATACAGCAAAGAACAGAAAAATCCAAACTCCTCCCTAAGTGCTTCAGGTCCTCTGCACTTTGGTCAGCTCTTGCCCTTCACTAGGGTGACAAATACACCCTTTGAGCTGCCTGGCTGTGCCCTGTACACTTACTTTACAACAGTAGGCACACTTATCACCTAGTGCATGTTTTCATATGAAACCACAGGAAACTCGGTGGTTTCAGCTATTTTAAGCCTAAAAGTAGACAGTATTTTGCAGCTGATTTGATTTCAAGAGAACCACAAGTAAAAGAGCTTTTTCACCCTCAGGATTGCAGCATAAAGCTATCCTAAAGTTCCAGGAGCTGCTATGAAGAGTCCAAATCTAATAACTAAAAATAATACATTCATACTTCCCATGTGTTTGGGCAGCTAATTTGTGATTTATTAGTACCTGAGTTAGGAATTATTGATCCTGGCAAAACAAAATGTTTGGCAATTTACCTGGTACAGTGAAGGCTACATTTCACAGCATTTATTTATTATTCTCCCATAAGAATGATACCACCTGCACCAAACTGAAGGGCAAGCTTGGAAGGGAAAGGAAGACACCAGCCCACTAGTGAACTGAAACTCCTTTCATATTTAGCAACTTCATTCCAGAGCCCTCTAGCCAGCAGTCTTTCTGTACTTGAAGCTGGGGGTTTTGGAAGGCTGCAAGGTCGGCTTTGTTGCAAAAGCTTTGCACACGCTGTTTTCAGTGAATTTGTGACTTCAGACCTCAGACTGACATCCTGAGCCCAAACTGAGCTCCTACCTATACACAGCCTTAACAAACCTGCTCAAACCCTTCCTTTATCTTACTTATTTTTGTTCTTTCTCTCCAGTGAAAGGCTAACGGCAGGGGACAAAGCAAAAGGCAGTGTAGCAGAAAGGAAGATCTTGCCAGATGATCATCCCCTGCTTGCACCCCCAGCGCTGAGCAGCTCAAACGAGTCCCAGCTGAATCTGGTTAGGGGGCCAAGCACATCAGTGCGACCCTCTGCTCTCACCGGCCCAGCCGAGCCGGGCTAGATGTAGCCTTGGAGTCCGGACAGCATGCCTGTTCTCAGCACACGCTCGACTCAGCAGCTCTCTTGGCTTTGCCCAGGGCTTGAATACACCGGGATAGCCCCGGGATAACGTCGGGACACAGCACTGGGAGCCCCGCCCTGGCCCGCCCCGAGCACCGCAGGGCAGGCTGCTCCTAGGGCAAGCTAAGAGCACGGGGAGCGACAGCCAGAGGGATATCACTGCTTGGAAAGGGACAAAGCAAACCTCAGAGAGCTTCGGAACCGTGCAGGGGTGAGTGATATATAAACTTCTTTATGAGAAGAAAGGGGTGTTATGAGTGGGTTTGCATGCCCTGATGTCTGTAGTATTAATTTATTTTTTTTTTTTCACCTGTGCAATGCCAGAACTGTTGTCCAGGTAAAACGTGTACTTATTTGTGAAGAGTGATTTGCAAGTTATGAGGGGTGAGGTGGGATAGGAAGAGAAAAAGCAGATGTTTTTGCTGAGCTGCAGCAAGGTCCCCAGTGTGCTCAGGTGGAATCCTGGCTGCCCCCAGCCTGGCAGGCACAGCAGCGGGAAAGAGGGCGTCAGGAAACGCAGAGGTGGGGACTCTGCCCCCCTCATAGAGCAATTTGTCTGTGGCAAAGTGTTAGGTGCATTTCTGCTAGTTGTGTAGAGTTGCTGGTGCCCTAGATTGGATGCTTTTGCTCCAGGTCTTTTTGGGGCTGGTTTAAAGGCCAGTACTACACTTGTTAGCAGTCATGAGCAGCCAACTTCAGTATGTACTCTGGGTTTGGGAGGAGTGGGGAGAAAAGACTTCTGGATCTGCTGATACCCCTTTTAGATTACTTCTGCTGGACAAAACTGTTTCAGGTCCTGCTGGGTGCCTTTGGCTTTATAAACTGCTTTGTAGTTTTCATAGAAGGAGTTAGGGTCCCACTTGCAATACAGTTGTGGGGATGACTCCCCACTGTACAAAATTAGGCTGTGAAAAGAGCATGTTTGTGTATGTGAGTGGCTGGTCCTCCATCTTGGTGGGACATGAGGTCTGATTGGGTAAGTGCTTGCACTTATCACAGCCAGGTGTGGGCTCAGCCTCCATAGGGGGGCTGCACAATTGAAACCCCACTGCTCTTTATCATCTTCCATTTTCTTTCCAAAGACCAGAACCAGTTGGCCTAAATTACAATAATGTTCTTGAATTGTCCTTTTGTCTGTGCTTGATTCTATAAGGGCGAGTTTTGACATGTGTGGTATGTTTAAAAGTAAGACACTTCATGTCTCTGCAGAGGTGCATTGTGTCTGCAAAAAGACTTGTGATCCTGGCTCTTTTCTGAAAAAGGTGTTTGTAGTGCTGTGGTTAGGTTAATTAACTCTGCACTTTCAGAATTCCTTTCTTCTTGCTTGGAGCTTGGGAACCGTAGTTCCTTAGCGCTATATGGATGCAACTCCTTCAGACTACTTGAAATACCCAACCTTGAATAAGTGTTACTGAAATGGTCATTTGACTTCTTAAAAGCCACAGTCTCTTGAGGTATGTTGTTGCTTTTATTGTTATGAAGAGCA